AGGCCATGGTGCCCACACACACACAAACGCACTAACACACACAAACACACAAACACACAGAGACAGAGACACACACACACACAGGTACAATCATCCTTGCACACAAACACACAGACACAGACACACAGACACACACAGTCCTTCAGTTCCCAAATCCACACAAACACACACAGAGGTACAGCCATCCTTGCACACAAACACACACAGACACACAGACACACACAGACACAAACACACACACACACACACACAGACACACACACACAAACACACACTCACACACACACAAACACACACACACACACAGACACACACACACACACAGACACACACACACAAACACACACAGACACACTCACACAAACACACACAGACACACTCACACACACACACACACACAAACACACACACACACACTCACACACACACACACACACACACACACACAAACACACACACACAAACACACACACACAAACACACACACACAAACACACACACACAGGCNACACACACACACAAACACACACACACAGGCACAGCCGGAGCCGCCGCGTGCACGCGCACACAGGGTTGCATCAGCTGAATTCATTAGCCCGTCTATTTTTACTAATGCAGCAAATCAAGTTGCTCTACAGCAGAGAAAACACACCCGAGACAGAGAGCCGTGGCGGAGCACGAAGCCAAAGGCTTTTGTCCAGCACTCCTGAGGGGATCAGCTTCCCGAGACTCCCCCAGCTCCACGGGGTGTCCCTGACCAGAAGCAATGCCAGGCAGCTCTTGCCCGGGGGGCTGAACCTGCCGACCGGAGCACATGGCAGTAATAAAGACATCCCGCTGCAAAGCCGTCCCTGCCGGCACCGCTCCCTGGTGTGCTGCTGCCTCCTGCTCTGATCCCATCGGGCACAACACTGCCCGTGCCGTGAGGGGGGGGCAGGACCCCAAATCTCTGAAACCAAGACTCCTGGGAGGGCTTGCATCACCCCAGAAGTGCAGAGGAGCCCCTGGAGCCCCTGGCTGAGCCCCTGGCTCCCCCGGAGATGGAGGAGCAGTGAGTGTGTTTGGGCAGGGAGACGCTGTACCTGTGGAGGGGAGGGGGTGGTGCACAGGTGGATCTGCGCTCCCAGGCTCAGCACTCACACAAGTGAGCTGGCAGAGATGCTCAGAGCACAGCTCCAAACTCAGTGCTACCTCTTCCTTGCTGCACAAGCCAGGAATTCATCGTAGGGAAGGGCCTCACCACTCTACCCGGCCCCAGAGACCTGCTGTCTGTGGGATGGGAGCTGGGAAACTCCCTCCTGAGGTGGCCCTGAGAGCTCCTGGGGAGACCAGAGGGCTGAGAGCAGCTTTCCTGCTCCCTTGTTGGCTTCCAACGATGCCAAAGAGCTCGTCCCACCTTGCAGTGGACAAAGAGGCTCAAGAGGGGTTGGAAAACACCTGGTTTGAGTCCCATTGTTGGCAGCTGCTGCCCTCAGTGCTGGGCGTGCTGGTGAATCCATCGCCGAGTCTCAGGGAGCTCGTGGCCAAGCAGCAGAGCTGTCACGATAGGGACCCCCCAGCACTGCTCTCTCCCAGGTCGCACAGCCTTCCCAAATGGCAAAACCCCCAGAGAAAGGTCAGGCTCTGCAGGGCCAGCCCCATGCCCAGGGAGCTGGGAAAAGCTGGCTGAGGTGCCAGAGATAAGCTCTGCTCAGGTCCCCACCACTTTGTGCTTCACTGAGGGAATGGCTCTGCTCCAGGAGCACTGAGAGATGCAGCTCCTGTCTCCCCCAGCCCCCAGCACGGGGGAATTGTAGGGAGGAGGCAGAGCTCCAGCCTCCCAGCCCGGCCAGGCAAAACTTCCTCGCAACAGGCAGCGGGGTCCCCTCCAGCCGCAGTATCTGTCTTCTGTGGTGAGACCCAAATTCTCAAAGACATCAAGTTCTCTCTCCTTATTCCAGGAAGCCCAGTGTCCCCTTGGGAAGAACCCCACACTTAAAAGGATGGACAGACCAGGGCAGAGCTGGATCTCTGGGCCCTTCCCCTCCAGCCACCTCCAAAGATCCCAGCGGTCACCACCATGGGAGGATGCTCGTGCCTCAGCCAAGCTTCCCCCTGCTCCCCACTGACCTCATGTGCCAGATCCTGCCCAGCCTGGCCTCCACTCACTGCAAGCCCAGCCAGAGCCCAGCAACAGAACCCAGCATGTCACAGTCCTTCTCTCTGCCCCTCCTGGGCCCAGGATGAGGTTTACAAAAATTCAAGATCCCACGAGGAGAGAGGAGCCAGGAGAGCACGGCCCAAGGCTTCCCCCGAGCCCCCTGGTCCCCAGGACATGGATGTGCTCCCTGACTGCTGATGGCACTCAAGCCCCTCCAAACCTCTCCATGCCCCCAGGCACAGCCATGGCCATGTAAACAGCGATGCCCCTTTGCTGCTGGGCTTGGGGGTCCAGCCAGGAGCTGGGACTGGGTTGAGGTGGGGGCCATTGGCACTGGACTGGTAGGACACTGGGGAAGGCAGACAGTGTTCAGCCACGGCACTCCTTGCTGCAGGGGGCTGTGGGTGTTGAGTGCCAGCACAGGCTCCAAAAAGCCGTTAGATGACTCGAGAAAGCAAAGGCACTGATCCTGCTCACAGTGCAGCCCCCCAGCCTTCTGCTTCCCCCATCCAGGAGCTGGGCACAGGTCACATCTCCAGCAGGGAGAAAGCCAGGAGAAACGGCTTCTGCTGAACTGCCCCCTCCCCAAACACTCTCCCCTTCAGCCCCAAGCTCCTCCTCGGAGCCCCCAGCCCTGGAGCCCCCAGCACACATGGCTGGGCCCCGTGGCAGGTGGGCAGAGGTTGGGTGGGGGTGGGATCCTGTCAAAGGAGCTCTGCTCGCCCGCGCACCCCATCCTGCTCCCTCCCACACCATCGGCACCCACTTGGCTCCCAGATCCCCTTTCTCCTCTCTGGGTGCTGCTCCATCCTCACAGACACGGGTGGGGAACAAGGAGCTGTGGCTTGGGCATGGGGAAACTGAGGCACAAGCAGGACGATGTGGTTTTGCCATGGAGCTGCCAGAGCCTGAGCCAGGCACAGATTAAATCTGCAGAGTAGGAGGACAAGATCCAGCCCCCAAACTCCAAGTACTCCGTTTTCAGTTGCCCTTCTACCTGGAGCACAGCCATATTCCCACGGGATAGTCAGCATGATTGTGACCCCACCGGAAGGGACAAGGGCACCCTTTCCCCCTCCGGCCTTACCCCAGCCCAAGTAAGGGTCACTCCTTCTCCAGGAGCAGGATTTGGGGAGACAAGAGGGTCCCAGTGCTGGGGATGCTTGTCCTGCTGCTCCCCACTGCCATGGAGCCACTGGCATGGGCAGGAGAGCAGGCAAAGGGATCGATGTGGGGGAAGCCAGCTCGGGGAAAAATAGATATCTATCTCATTAAAAATGGATGCTCAAGCGAGTCCTCCCCACTCCAAAGCCACCTCCCTCCCTCTTCCTGGTAGCCAGAGTGAAATCAGCACCCAGCTTCCAGAGGAGGGAAGATGCCAGCACGGCATGGCGCTGCCTCTGTGCCCACTGCTCCCACCCCACTGCTGCTGAGACCCTCTGGGTGCTGCAGGGGGGGGTCTGGGACCCCCAGCACTTCGGGCAGAAGGTAATTATGGAGCAGGACCTCTACCAGGAGCATCTCTGCTGCAGGGACTGCCACACTCTGGCCTTCACTGCCCAGGCACTGCCACATCCCACCAGTGGCATTGGATGCCCAAAAGGCAGTGCTGCTTCAGCCCAGTGCCCCATGGCACCCCTGGGCCCCCACATGGTCAAGATCTTGGGGGTCTCTGACTGCTACCAAAACCCTGTGCCTCAGTTTCCCCCATCCATGTCCAACCCCAGCCATTCCATGGGGTTCAGCCTGCCCACCTGGCCCCCCCATGGACCCCTCCACCCATTCCCATCCCCTGCCCCACCAAAACAAACTCCTCATCCCCATCCTGGACTGCTTGGGGGTCCCTGACACCACACTGGTCTCTCTGGGACCCTGCTGTGGGGCTAAGCCCTCTCAGCCCCATCCCAGCAAGGGTCTTCCCTTCCTCCATCCCCTGAGCTCTGAGATGGGGTGGCTGCCCCTCTGCCTCTCTGCCCCCATCCCTGGCAGGTGCCACCCTGCACCCATTGAAAGCCACACTGAGGTGTAGGGGTGCTGGGGGGTTTGATTACAGCCCCAGAGATGCCAGTGGTGCCACCAGGGAGGACGAGGGGCATTTTGGAAGTTGGCAGCAGAGGTGGAAGGGGGCAAACATCAACCCCACATCCGGGTGACCCTGTCCCTACGGCGATGTCCCTTTGCACCCCCATCCCAAAACATCCCTGCATCCCGCGGTACCCACCTGACCCCCCCTCCCCGCCGTTACCCACCCGGTGCTGCCCGGCCATGCCGGGGGGGACACAACACACCGCCTTCCCCCCCCAGCACGCCCACACTCCCCAAACCGGGGAGGGGGGGGAGGGCAGCACCAGGAGGGGGTCACACCGATCACCATCCTCTGGTGAGCTACCGGGAGGCGGGGGCGGAGGGGGGGCCGCCGGACCGGGAGCCCCGGGGCCGGGCCGGCTCCGCCGCCGTTATATAACGCGGCTCCATGATGCGGGATGCGGCTGGGGGTGGTTGCGGTGCCGGTGCCGGGATTGGTGCTGGTACCGGTGGAACAGGCACCGACACCGACACCGGCATCGGCACCAACGCCGGCACCGGCTTTGTGTTGTCAAGGGTTTTCCCGAGCGGCTCTTACCTCCAGCCCCGTCTTCCGAAGCTCATGCCATGCCTTGTGCCCGTCTTCTCTCGGTTGCAGGAAAAAAACCCACCAGAAAGAAAACCGGGAATAATCCCCCCAAAAATCCCCGTTGGCAAAGGGGCCGGATCCCGCCCGGCCCCCGCCCCAACCCCGCGAAACAACAGGAAAAATAAGCGGGGAGTGGAGGGGGGGAATGGGGCCGGATCCGGATCCGGGGGGATGGAGAAGGGGGGTCCCTCCTGCCAGCCAGCCCAGGGAGCTGGGAGCACACGCACACGCGCGTTTGCACACACGCACACGCGTGTCACCAGCGGAGCCTGTTAAAGAGACACGGTCGCCCGTAGCGATAATGGATCGCGATGGGATCGCACTGGCACCGGGAGAAGCGAGGTGAGGGTGCGGGACACAGGGAATGATGTGGGGGGTGCGGGCAGGGCTGGGCTGGCAGCTGGGTGTGCAGGGAGAGAGGGGTGGTGGGTGGGGGAATGCAGGGGTGGAAGGATGGGGGATGGAGGGAGGGACGGGGGGATGGAAAGATGGAGGGGGGATGGAGGGATGGAGGGGTGGAAGGACGGAGGGAGGGATGGAGAAATGGGGGGAAGAATGGAGAGGTGCAGGGAGGGCTGTGGGGAGAAATGAAGGCAGGGATGGAAGGATGGATGGAAACATGGAGGGATGGAGGGAAGAATGGAGAGATGGGGATGAAGGAGTTGGAGAGGATGGAGGGATGGAGAAATGGAGGGAAGAGTGGTGAGATGAAGGGATGGAGAGGTGTAAGGATGGAGGAGTGGAGAATGGAGGATGGAGGGATGGAGAAATGGAGAGAATGGTGAGATGGAGGGATGGAGGGAGAAATGGAGGGATGGATGGCTGGATGGACAGATGGATGCTTGCTCTGGCTCTCTCCCCTCCAGGGCACTGGCAGGCTGGAGATTCTGGTGCAGATCCTGCTGCAGACCCCTCTCACCCCGACAGGCAGCTCAGGCTCTGCTGGCAGTCCCTGGGGCACAGCGATGACACTCGACCTAGCACCAGCACCCCGGGGTGCAGCAGGCACCCAGGACAGGGTGCTGTGCCCCGATGCTGAGGAGATTCACCTACCCAAGCCACATCTGGCAGTGGGACCTGCTGGGGGCTGTGCCACTGCTGCCCCTCATTTCCCATCACCCCCGCTCAGCACCCGCCCAGCACCCCCAGTCTGGGCCCAGCTCCACCACTGCTCCCCAAACTGGAGGAAACTGGTCAGCTGCCACATTTAACCCTATCCCCTCTGCCTCCCCCTGGCACGGCCCCATGTGAGCAGCAGGGCCAGGGCAGCTGCTGCACCCGGCTGGCCCTGGGGAGGCTGCTGGATCTGCCTGGATCCGGCGCCTGGCTCCTGCTTCCATAATTTATAAGGCAGGTTGGGTTTCACACTGGCAGTTGGGAGGGGGCTTGGGGGAGGAGACACACGCACACTCACTCACACTCACACTCATTCACACTCACACCCTCATCACACCCTGCCCAGAGGGTGTCAAATGCAAGAGAAGGTCCTGGAGGGGCCAGTGGCTGCAGGGATGTGCAGATCCACGGCCTTGTCCGGGTGACACGTCTTTTCCCCATAGACTGAGGAACTGGTGACCCTTCCTCCCACAGTCCCTTGCCCCCCCCAGCAGTGCCATGTCCCCCGTGGTGCCTTGTCCCCGTGGGGTTTTCCCAGGGAATTGCCAGCCAGCAGCAGCCCAGGAGCAGCGGGTGGTGGTCCAGCACTTGGGGACGTGCTCTGTACCCAGAGCAGGCCCAGTACCAGCAGAGCTGACAGGCACAGGCAGGTAGTGGGGCCCCAGATGGTCCCTGTTGTCCCCTTGGTCCTGGCACAGCCCTATTGTCACTAGCCCCTGCTAGCTCCAGGCCCAAGAGGGGACACATTGTCATGTCCCCTTATCCTGGGGACATTTTCATGCCTGTAAAGAGACTGGAAAAGTCCCTGGGCATGTGGAGTCTCCATGCACACACTCCAGGGACACAGCTGGTGTGCCACCAGCCCAGGGGATACCCACACCCACACCCTGGGGTGCCTGATGGGGAGTGCCTGGTCACCCCACTTCACCCTGTGTCACCATCACAGACCTCCTGAGCCTCCCTGCTCGCCGGGACTGTCCCTCCTGCGTGCCAGGAGGGTGTCGACCGGTGTCCCCATGCTCAGGCCAGGCCAGAAGCTGGGAACCAAGTGACAAGGCTCCCCCAATGCTCCTCCACCTTCCCATTCCCACCACCCTCTGGATGCTGAAGGCTCTCACCCAGCCTGTCCCCATGGCGACGGGACCCTGGGCTGAGCATCCCCCGTCCAGCCGGAGCACCCCCGGTCCGGTCGGGCCCCCGGTGCCGGGGCTGGACCGCAGTGCGCCGGGGGCCCGTCGCCGCAGCAACCGCCGTCGCCTAGCGCCGCTGTCTCCCGGTAACCCGTCGCTTAGCAATGGGGGATTTTCACAGCTCGGGATGAAGAGTTGAAAGTTATTTTTAGCCCGGGCTGCGAATCAATAGGCAGCTCCATTCGCCGCCTCGCAGGATGCATGCGCAGGGGCCCGGCGGTGGCGGCGGCGACAGGGGGATGATGGGGGGAGAGGGGTGGTCTGTCCAGGGCTCAGTCCCCTTTGTGCTGACTCCAGGGCTCAGAGTCCCTTGGTCTTCCCCACCAAGGGTCTGACCCCCCAGGGCTCCCCCCTCCAGACCGTGTGCAGGTGAGGGTGGGTGAGGACACAGCGACTCTCAGGCTTCTGTGGGGACTGTCACATGGCCATGGGGATGATCACACTGCTGTGGGGATTGTTAGCTGCTGTGGGAACCCTAATCTTACCATGGGGACCCTCATCTCACTGTGAGGGCCCTCACCTTACTGTAGGGACCCTCAAACAGCCATGGAGGACCCTCATCCAGCTGTTGGGAGCCTCACCTTTCCATGGGAAGCTTCTGCCACCAGTGTGGACATCCACCTTGTCATGGGGAACACTGCCTTGCAACGAGACCCTCTGCTTGCCATGGGATCCTCTCCTTGCCATGGAGACCACTGCCTTGTCATTGGGACCCTCTCCTTGGCATGAGGACACCAGCTTTGACATGTGGACCCTCTCCTTGCCTTGGGGATCCCCACCTTACCATGAGGACCCCTACCTCACAAAGGGGACCCCTACCTTGCCATGGGGACCCTTGTCCTGCTTTGGGGATCCTCATCTGTGGTTCCCTCCAGACAGCTTTCCTGAGTTCCCCAAGTCTCTCCAGGGCTCATTCCCACTGCCGGGGCACCAGCCTGGGGGTCTGGATGCTCAGGGGCATTGAGAAGGGACAGAGCCTGTTCAGCACCCGGGTTCCACGGGGAAGGGCTCAGGTTCTCCCTGCATGTCCCCAGGGAAGGGCTGGGAGCTGAGATGAGGCTCCTGAGCTATTTTTTAAAGATGAGGTGGGTGCCTCCCACAGCCACATCTCCTTCGGGTGCTCGGCTGGGCGGGAGAGCTCCCCACGCAGCCGGGGGGGACGGGCAGTGGGATGGGGAGAGGCTGAGCACCCCTAGCCTCTGAGCAGCCCTCCAAGGTTCCAACCCCCCTGAGTCCCCCTTTTGCCTTTCCAGCAGGGTTTTTGCCCCTGGGCACAGCCCAGCCTGGAGCATCCCTGTCCATGCCATCACCCACCCATGGCACAGGGTGGAGGGTGCCCAGAGCCACTCAACAGGGACCCTTCGCGACAGTGTGGATGTCCCAGGGACCTGTCAGGGGCCCGAGGTTGCTGGATGGTGGCTGCCCAGGAAAGGAGAAACCTTGGGGTGACCCAACAGGAAGAGGAGGATCACCAAAAAAAAAGGAGGAGCCAGGGTCCCTCCTGCATGGAGCCCAGAGGTGTTCTGGGGTGGCAGATGGGTCTGGGGCAGAGCAGACCTGGATCAGTCACAGCAGGTCCAGAAGGGACACAGAAATGCTCAGAGGGCTGGAAGAACCTCTCCCGGGAAGAAAGGCTGGGAGAGCTGGGTATGTCCAGCCTGGAGAAGACCCTCAGGCATCCTGGAAATACTTAAGGGGGCTTGGAACAACGATGGAGAGAGGCTTAGTGCCAGGACCTGTAGAGGCAGGAGAAGGGGGTGACAATTTTAATTGGAAGAGAGTGGATTTAGATTGGATATAAGGAGGAAACACGTTGCAGGGGAGGCAGTGAGAAGCTGGAGGAGCTGTGGGTCCCCACTGGGCTGGAGCAGCCCGGCCCTCCGGGAATGCCTCTGCCCAGGGCAGAGGTAGGACCGGGTGGTCTTTGAAGGTCCCACTGGACGAGTCGATGCTCTGCTTCTCTGCGGGAGGTGGTTTTCCCCCGCCCCACCCGAGTCCCCCGGGGTCCACCGGGGTCCCCCCGCCTGGGGGTGGCGATTCGCGGCCACCGTGCCCGCGGTCACCAGAGGGCACTGCGAGCCCGAGCATCCCGGAGACACTCGGGGGGACCGGGGCCAAAAGGGGGCTCGGAGCGGCCCGAGAGCCGCCACAGGGGCCGGAGGCTTCGGGGAGCTCTCGGGGGGCGGCCGGCACCCAGACCCTCCCAAGTCCCCCCCAAGTCCCACGGGGACAACCCCCCCTATGGCAGCCAGGGACAAAGAGGACACGGCAGGGTGCTGGGGACAGAGTCAGGGGGCATGGCCACAGGCCAGAGCTCCAGGCACGGCTGGCATCCCCGTGGGTGCCCAGAAATGCTCAGCCTCATCAGATGGTCCGGAGATCTGAGACAATAGCGGGGTGCTGGGGGGGCTTTGCCCGGTCCCAGCTCAGCCCCAGCTCTGGTGGGTGTTCCAAAAGGGCTCCTGACCCCCCAGTTGCTGTGCCACAAATGAAGGGGTGGCCCATGCCATGTGGAGGGAAGCCAGGACTGGTGGCCACGGTGTTTTGGTCAGGCTGGTGCCGAGGTTTAACCAGCAACACCCAGTTAAGGTGGGTCGGGGGCCGTTGGGGGTCCGGGGGTGCAGAACCAGCCCTGGGTGCTGGCATTAGGGCAGACACTGCCATGTGCCTGTGGCAACAGTGGCACCCACTTCCAGCCTCAAACACCCATGTCCCACCTCCCTGCATGCTGGGGTGTCCCAAGGGAACATGCCCCGAGGGTGCTGAGCACCCACCCGGGTGGGGGATCGGTATCGATGGGTTGAAGTTCCTGTCTGGGGACTGCAGTGCCTCACCGCTGGTGCCACCTCATCTCTGGCGTCACCCCATCTCTGGCGCCACCTCACCACTGGTGCCACGTCACCCCTGGGCACCTGGCTGCAGCCATTTGTGTGTCCCCGGCTGGATTCCCTGCCCAGCTCCAAGCCCAGCTCCCCTCACTTCCCCATGGTGACACCGAATCGGCCCCAGGACCGTGTCCCCCCATTCCGGGGTCACTGTGACCCTCCAAGGCACAGCCAGACCCTCGACCCAGCCACCCTCTAGCAAACTCCACAAGGTAACTGATGAGCTCGGCATGAGGGCCAGCAGAGAGCCCCCCACCCCGACCCCCCACCCCAACCCCCTGACACCCCGACATCCCGGCCGGCTCGACCTTAACCCGCAGCCCCTCCGGCCCCTCATTTTCCACGGATTCCAGCAGCGTGACTTCTTTCAGCATCATTTCATGGCCGGAGGGCTGTGAATCCTCCTCTCCCCGCCCGCCTCCCCCTCCCCTTCCCCCCCCTCTTTCTTCCC